TAAGCTGTTTTTATTACAGCAAAAGGAAGGAGAGGGACCTGTACAAGGCAGGACGGTTCCTCAACCAGTGTCATACACAACAGCAGCGTTCCAAAATCTCCTTTACTCGGATTCAAAGCTCTGGCTGTTAAATTAATCATCACCACATGACATTAAAGTAATCACACATGTCAAAAGATTTTAACAGGGATGCTCAGGATAAAACAGAAATAGCTATGCTATTAGAAAACGGGGAGCTTCCTTCAAGCTTTTCCCTCAGCCTTTTCTATCAAACTTCCTCCACTAAAATACTTTTCCTTTCTCAATCCCAAACTTACCTTATGCCTTCAATAAAGTGAATGCCTAAAACAGGAATCTGACACTGTGATTTCATAACCATCACAAACAGGAATCTGACACTGTGATTTCATAATCAACACTAAGAATGGGATTGCATGGCAAATATTTATTTGTCTCTGGAGCGTGGACCTGACAGTTCCTTCTCCTACAACAGAGATGTTGGGTAGAACAGACCTGTGACTGCTGAGAAGAACTCTGAATGGCAAGTTTTCTTGTGTCCATTTAGCCTACTGGGCATAGAGAGTCCTCTCTTTTAAACTCATGCCATTTTCCTTCCTCTTTTTTAAACACCTGACATTTTGAAAGAGAGTGTTGAGAAAATGGTGCGAAATAATGTCCATGTGATGCATGGAGCTTCAATTGCCTCCATACGACATATGTAGAACACCTTGTACTACCTGCTAGGGATATGAATGGAGGATTTCTGAACTACAAATCATATTATCCTCCATTCTGGGAGTCACACCTGCCAAATACAGACCTTTATAATTGTGTGCCAACAAATCAATTCTGATTTATGGCAACCCTTTTCAGGGCTTTTTTTTTTTCTTAGAGAGTACTCAGAAGTAATTTAGCATCTTTTTCTTCTGGGAGAACCCAGGGATTGTGGAGCTTGTCAAACCACACAGGTCTGCTCTTGTGGGATGCACAGTGAGGAACTGAACTCCCAATCTCTAGCTCCTCAGTCAAAGGACTGCTCCCTGAGTGGAAGTCCACTACACTGGGCAATTCATATCCAGACTGAGAATCTCCAAACCCTTCTCAGTAGGTGAGCACAATTAGCTTTGGGTCTGGGGCAATTCATATCCAGACTGAGAATCTCCCAACCCTTCTCAGTAGGTGAGCACAATTAGGTTTGGGTCTGGGAGGTGGAGAATGGAGAATTATGGCATTTGTAAAACATTCCAAGATGCACATCCCTACCAGCTGCTGAAGACAGGAGGGCCTGGCGTGCTCTGGTCCATGGGGTCATGAAGAGTCAGACACGACTAAACAACAACAACCAGCTGCTAGTATGACAATGTTACATTACAACGTTCTAGTATAACCTGGTGACAAGCTACACACTTTACAGCACTCCGAAAAGTAAGCGACCCCATGGTGCCCAGTTCAAGTAGTCTTTCTACTGTAGCCCCGTCAGCTTTAAGGGTGCAGGTGTTCAGCACATACCCCTGACTGGGGACAGGACGTAGGCAGACAGGGATGTTACCCCTTCCCTCATTGGCTGTGATCCATTTCAACACCCCAGTCTCCTCAAGCAATTAAGATTTTTAGACAGAGCACCAATGCAGCAATGAAACATAGCATGGACAGAGAGGGCTCTTCAAAATCAAGATTTTGCAGTGTGGAATGGGATGGGACTGGAGTGGAGAAGAGTGGCTATCGGCACTGCTGGAACTAACTGCACAAATTTCTGGGCATTAGAAAGCCTCCACTAAGACCAGAGGAATTCTGGGGGGGGGGCAGTTGTTGTACTGGGTCATACTTAGGGGGGCAGCTGCATGGATCTCTTCCAGCTAGGATGCCTCCTCCTCCCAATCACCCCCCCAGAGCACTTGTGTTTTTTGAAACCTAGACAGATACCAGTGCAGCCTTTCAAACTGGTATGCAAGATGGCAACTGGGCGGGTTGACAAAGAGGCAAAGCCGTGAGCTGAATAGGGGAGCCCCGAAGGCTGCAGTCTAAGGTTCCGCACCTCTCTCCTAAACACAATGTGGCTCAGAACTCTCCAAGTGCGAACCCTGTTTCCCGATTGAAATCTATCACGTTAAAGCATGAACACAGAGAGGAGCCAAAGGGCAGGTACCTCAAGATTTACTCCAAAGCTACCCAAAGGGACCTGAGCAGATAAGAGGAAGGGCAAAAATACCACTCGTTGTTCCAGAGATCACTTCTCCATAGCGGATGAAACCCCCAGACACAGCACTGAGCTAACACAATGGCCTCAAGCTTGCACACCCTGCTTCAAATGCTGCATATAGTGGAGACAAACCGCCTTGCAATCACATTAAGGCAGCATATTTTACACCTAAAGGGTGAAAAATGTTCACATCACGCAGAGGCTCTAGATAGCACTTGACTAGTTCTGGTGGAAAAATATTTTACATTTCTCTGAACCAGTCCTGCAGAGAGCTGAAGATAGCTTTCACAACTCTCAGGACAGCATCAGCTGTTATGTCCCTGGATAATCAAGTGTCTGGGATATTTCCAGCTCTGCCGGACCATTTACCTATCAAAAGAATGTTCAGTCCTTCAGGGAATACCATTTTCATTAGTAGCAGGTGTACCACTTCAGCCAGTTCCTCAATCATTCTAAACAAAGAGGCCGTTTTCACAGAGCAATTTAGCAGCCAAGCATGCGAGCCTGAAAGGGTTAGACAGGCATGCATTCCAAGGGGAGTTGGGATTTCAGTAAATGCTGCTAATCATTGATGAAAGGGGAAAGGATTCTATACTACAGATCTAAAATTGAGAAGAAAGGAGGCAGTGACAGAAAGGTAGGTTTTCCTGAATTTTACCAGCTTAAAGGGCAAAACACGACTGTTACATCTGCTTCACTTTCTTTGAGAAGGTTCTACAGATATCTCCCACTTACAAGAGCTGAGAGATGTTCCTTGATTTATTTGGGATTTATTGTTTGCAGACATTTAATTTAAAAAATTAATTATTTCCCAGCAACACTCCCTCTAAGCTGGGCGTCTGCACAGCACTGCATGGGTCCTGTGCACCCGCAGCCAGCGTTGCTGCCCATTTGGTTCCGGTCGCAGCTGGAACTTCCCCTGCGCAGGGCGAGGTTCCAGCTCAGAGCTGATGGAAAACTAAATGCAATTATATTCAATTTCCCACCAATGAAAACTCTGCCCCATGTGCGCAAAGTTCTGGCCGTAATCAGCACCAAATGGCAGGCAACACTGGTTGTTGATGCATAGGACCAATGCAGCAGCAGCAGCAGGTTGTAGGAAACACTGCTTCCCAGGCAGAGTCTCTGCAAAATAGGCTTCTGAATGCTTAAAAAAAAAGAAGCCATACAAACAGCTCACAATTAGTAGTCACATTTTAAATAAAAAGGACACACACACACACACACACACACACACACACACACACACACACACACACACACACACACACACAAGGACACACACACACACACACACACACACACACACACACACAAACACACACACACACACACACACAGAGGGGGGTATAGAGAGGAGTTATATATCGTTATATAACATATATAGTTACACCCAGACCCCCACACAAACATACACATATACATGTCTTGATGTCTTGGAAAAACAGGAGGCCCCTGAATGACAGGTCCTGCTGCATGGTTCTCCACTCATTTTTAAATGCCTGAACAGTATGCTCTTATTCCAATTTATTTTTTCATCTGAAGTGCTGGCATTAAACCGATGAGCCTAATCAGGTGTAGCTGCGGTGATGAAAAATGTCTTATTTCAGCTTCCCTAACTAGTTCATGATTTAGTGGCCTCTAGCCTAGACTACGGTAGTGCAGCACACATGGTCTTCCCTCGAAAAGTACCCAAAAGCTTTGAGTACTCCGAAGCGCAGCTACCAAGCTGTTCTCTGGAATTGGCAAAGTGGAGCACTGGACTCCAGGCACACTTAACCCCCTTTTTTTTGTCTTCAGTGATTCCACAGTGGAATCACTGGTTCAATTTAAATCTGCTGGCTCTTACCCATAAAGGCTCATAGTGATTTGGGCACTGAGTCCCTGCAGGAATACCTTTTGTCCATAAAAAACCTTCCCATACATTCTAGCTCTGGGTTCTCCTGCTAATGGAAATGTAGCTATTTCCAGCCCTGGCAGATAAGCCGATTATATCTGTGATCCCCAATCAAAAGTAATACAAGCAAAACCTAATCAAGAAGGGTGCTAACAAATTGGAACAAGTTCAGAGGAGGGCAATAAAGACGATCAGGGGGCTGGAAACCAAGTCTTGTGAGGAAAGGCTGAAAGAACTGGGCATGTTTAGCCTTGAGAAAATAAGACTGAGGGGTGATATGATAGCATTTTTCCAATATTTGAAAGGCTGTCATACAGAAGAGAGGCAAGATCTGTTCTCAGTCATCCCAGAGTGCAGGACACACAATCATGGGCTCAAGTTAAAGGAAGCCAGATTTCAGTTGAATATCAGGAAAAACTTCCTGTTAGAGCAGTACAACAGTGGAACCAGTTACCTCGGGAGTTGGTGAGCACTCCAACACTGGAGGCATTCAAGAAAAACTTGGATAATAACCTGACAGACATGCTTTGATTGTATTCCTCCATTGAGCAGGGGGTTGGACTTGATGGCCTTGTAGGCCCCTTGCAACTTCACTTTTCTATAATTCTATAATGTGCCACGGGTGACAGAGCAAGATGAGCTTATGCTTACTGCATAAGTCTGATGTCTAATCACAATAGTACCAATAAGAAGAATGACACATTCCAAGAAGGTATTTTTCTTCTTTTGCTCCAACAATCTGATAGTCCTACCCTAAGCAAAGTAGCTATGACTTATGCTGGAGGAGTATCATACAGGTACTATAAAGATAGAAAGGGCTGTTCACCCATTTAACAGTCTTCACTGGGGCTGATCTCGAGAGTTATGCAAAGGAACCAAAGGTGGACAAGCTCAGGTTCATACCTGTTTCTCAGTCATGGCATAGAGATACTGGAGATCAGGACTAAGTACCAGGTCCCTCAAGATGGAGCTGCCTTCATGGGCCACAACATTCTCATACTGCAGTGCTGAACGTCCAATGGGATTGGCAGGGTCCACCAGGATCTGAAAGAACAGAGAATATTGTTAATAAACCCTGTTATGAGTTCTTCCACGTACAAGGAGGATAAAAGGATAAATTGTCCAGTCCAAGCCAGTAGCTATTAGGCTGGGGAAAAACAGCATTAGCTATGGAAAGAAAGATCTCTCTGAGGAGTTTTAGGCACATCAGATCTCCAGTATTTATCTTTGAGACTTCATGATTTCTCAGTGCATATACTGTATGTTACAACCCATAATCTGGAATCTGTGGTCCTTTAGGCGCTGATGGACTTTTATTATTACTAATCAAAGTGGCTCAGGCTGAACAGAACTAAAATGCAACAACATCTGGAAGACCGCAGTGTCCCCATAGCCCAGGTATAGGCTGAAATGTGAAGGAGAAGTTCAGTGACAATATCCAACAACTCATGTATTGGCTGCCACAGACATGGGTGAAGGAAGTGAAGAGTCCAGAAAGTTCTTTCAAACACTCACCCTTTTTTAAACTATTGTCTAAAATGAGAAATAATGAACAATCAACATTATCTGATCAGTCAACAGAAGCCTGTTCTACTCCATCAGCCATTTTAATATTCTTATCAAAGCTGCCATTTATTCACCCTTCTATTAATCATAGCACTCGTTCTTAAAAAGCTGAGAGAAGTAATGGCTCCATCTGCTTTCCATTTAAACTAAAACTACATTATGCACTTCAATGCACATTAATGCTGCTCAGTTAAATCTAGGGAACTTAAAAAAATTGAGGGACTATTGGACAATGTGTTATTCGTTCCAGAGAAAAGTGCAAACATTTATTAAGGGGAGTGCAGGAAATATCTAATAGTCATACTATCATATGGGCACTGCATAAGAGGAGAATAAAATGACAAGTAAGGCTCCATTAACAATATCTCAATATTGGGAGAGCAGTGGGTGGAGAAAACACAGCTGCTGTTTAATCTACTGAGAATGTCATTCCATTCCATGCTCCATTATAATAATAAAGTTAAAGTCATTCACAAATAACTGAATTCAGAAATATATCAGCACTACTACTACTACTTTCACCGTCCATCAAAATCAAACACCTTTTGCCAGGAGGTCCTGCTAAGTAATTCTTCATTCATTTACACTCTATGCACACTGGCTGGGCAGATATCATTATGAAACCTAACGATCAAATTACATGAACTTTGTTTTAGTCAGCATTTCCCAAAGACAGAGCTTTCCAGCAAGCTAATAATTCTGCTGTTCTTGAAATGATCTCTAATCTGCTAAGAAGGCAAACACAACCTGGAACAGCTTCTTATGTGTCAGTGACACAGTACCCTTAAAGTAAAGGGGATACACCTATACTGAGAAATAGTAGAAGATATTAATGTACTGTACAAAGACACCCCCCCTCTCTGCACAAGGGGGAGGTGCACCACAGAATGCTTTGCTGAGAAGAAGAGAAGGTCAACCATCTCCCTTGTTCTAGGCAAAAGAGGGATCTAATAAATGCTTTAATCCCATTAGCTGTCACAGTAACAATAAAGCTTATCCCAAAACACCTGCTTTCACTTCAGAGGCCATAACTGCATTAAAAGGCAACAAGGGACCACAGTCAACACATGGTAGAGAGAAGACATAGCAGAGTTCATTCTTTTAATTTAAGCTGTCACTTGCCTAATAATCATGAGATCTTCAGTTACTTGGCCAGAATAATTAATTCTTTCTGTCCAGGACAGCTTTACGGACCAACACCTATAAACTGAATTTTGTATAGGGGGTGGGAAGAATGGTAAACAACCTGGTACCATCTTGCACCACACGACATGATTAATTTTAGTCCTTTCGAATCCTAACTTTTCTAGTTGAAGTGTTGATGCACCGCTTGACCTGAATAATCTGGAACCAATCCATCTCTGGTACCTCTAAAATTGGCAGTAGCCGCATCACTACTTGGGTGGTCACTAGCATTTTAGACACAAACACAAATGTAAATGATATTACAAAGCGGGCAATGAGAACACAGTTATCATCCTTCTCTCATGATACTGGTATTGGGGTCATCTAATGAAGATAAGTACTAAAAGATTCAAAGGAGAATTCAAAGGAAGCAATTTTTTTCACAATACAAGAATGTAGAGAAGGCTACCAACTTAGTTGGTTTGTAACGTGGGAGGGTCAGAAAAAATCACGTACAATGAAGTTGTTAATGGATGCTCAGTCACGTTAGCTATATACGGCTTCCTAGATTAGAGGCAATGCATTTCTCAATATGAGTTGCAGGGAAATAAACGCAGAATGATTGAACGCATGTCCTTTTTGTGGCCTTCCAGGGCCTTCTGATTGAACACTATGAGAAACAGGATGCTAAATGAGACAGGCTCTTGGTCTCACTTAGGACAGCTGCTATAATATACCATTCCACCTTTTAAGCTGATAGTCAACTGCCTCAGCTGTTTAAAACACAATTCCACCATTGTTATATATACATTGCAACAAACCTGAGTTTCAAATCAAACTGACTGACTAGCAAGTGCAAGAGTAAACAGAAAGAGAAGGAATTCTTCATTCTGCAAAGACCATAAGAAAGATTCATCCAATATTAGAGAAAGGAAATCTGTCAATAAATTTGAAGTAGAATCAGGAAACCAGCAGCTCAATTGTTCCACATCTGCCAGTAAAGACACACGTAATTCCATACCTTCCATCCAGGCTCCCACAATCCCTCATCACATTTTTGTTAAATTTAAGGCACTCTAAATATCTGTTGCTGAGAACAACAGGAGAGGGCCACTGGCTTCATGTCCTGTTTGTGGGCTTCCCAGAAGTATCTAGTTGGTCACTGTGGGAAACATGATACTGAAATGGATAAGCCTTTGGTTTGATCCAGCAGGGTTCCTCTTATGTTCTGTTTCCTACTGACTGCAATAAACAGAGGTCACTATCCTGACTTATTCAGAGGCATACAAGATAGATATGCCTGATTTGACCACGGCTTAATGGGAACTGAGTAATTCATTTTATTACCCTCAGGTTCTTCTGATATCGCTGGGTTATCCTTCATCTTTCCAACCCCTCAAATCAAGCACCACCTTTACTGGGGGGAGGGGGGGAGAGCCCCACAGAGTGCTTGCAGCTTCATTTCCCCTACTGTAATAAATAGACTCCATCCACCTATTTGCATACTTTCCAATCAGGCAGAGGAAGTGGGGCTTAGGAGGCAGGATCCTGGCATGTGGCTGATTAACATGGAAATATATGCAGCTCACAAACAAACCAGGGCCCGTTTAATTAGAACAGTGCCTTTGATTCACCGCCAAACATCCAGCGCGCACCAGCCTCGGATTATTTTTAGTCAGTTTTGTAAAACAAATGTATTTGATTAAGAAAGACACCCCTGAGCTAAGAAATACTGATCGACAGAGGCAGAAAAGTGAGGAGGCTGGCCGCCTACTGGGAAAAGGCCTTGGGCCTGTGGTGAAGGCGTCCAGGGACGCAGGTGTGAGCATCAGGAGCTCTCACCTACAGCCTGACAGCTGCACAGCTACAGCCCAGAGAAGTAGTGGAATGTGTGCCTGCAAGCCTTCCATTTCCCCTGCAAGCCCTGAAATGGTGCAGGCTACCTTCTCAGAGGAGAATTGTCAGCATACTTAGCTTGTGCTCTTCTTGTGCTGACCTTCCTGCTTCACATTCTATGTGAGCGTGCAAGACTTATTTCTGCATGCATGCATGTGTGTGTGTGTGTAGGGGGGGGGCTGATGGGGACAGAAGAAATAAGAAGAAAGGAAAGTAAGTTAATTTCATGATGTTGAAACCAGACAAGAGGGATGCAATAAGTAGGTCTGTGAAGATAAGGTGTATTTTGTTCTGTAGTAGAATTCTGCAGTGAATGAGTGGGGTGGGGATGAAGAACTGTTTTGAGTGAGCAAATGTCTGTGCACATGTGAGTGTGCATGTGCACACACTTATACACAACTGTATGCGTACATAAAAACCCACTTTGCCCTGGCCCTGCCTGTCTGCCAAGCCTGACCTTCTACTGATGGACCTTAATCTCTCAGGATCAAAACTTCCCCATCACAGTCTCCATTTCCCCTACTAACCTCCCCACCAACCTTTTTTTCCCCCCACCTTGTCTCAGTTCACCATCCCAGTGCATGGATAGCCCCTAAACTATAGGAGGCTGACATATTGACTTTCTTTTGTTACTTATATACAGTACATTTTTAAACATTTTTTAAAATTTATTTATTTATTTATAAAATTTCTATGCTGCCCCCATCTGGCAACCAATCATATACATATGCACATACATACCACAGGGAGCCATAATAGACTTTGACTCCCTGCTGCATGTTTCCATGGTGCAGACCTTGTGAAAGGAAGCCATGTTGCCTGGCTTCACACACTCCAAGGTATAAGTAGGTATAGGGTACATTTTAAACACATTCTTCTATTGTAAATTGAAGCAGCTTTTGAGTTAACCTGAAATTCAAGACCTTGAAAGGGAAGCCTGCATTGATTCTGCAAGCTTTCTCTTCCACATACCAAATATAGATCATTACAAGAGTCTGTAACCCCCTGCTGGTCAATTATTTCTATTTGAATGCTAAAAGCTTTGTCAATAGGCCACTATCTGAATTTAGTAGAATATCTGCATTAGTAATCAACCCTTCTTTCTACATACAAGGGAAATTAATCCTTTCTCTTCTTTTGGTTTCTCCTTATCCAAAAACTCTGTACCAGAAGCATTACAATAAACCACATACAAAAAGTAACACACATTTTCTTTGTGAAACATCTATCCTTGATGATTCCAATTAAGAAGTCCTAAAATATTCCTCATTATTTTTGTTGTTATTAATTCTTTTAAAATATCCAAAGTGATTTACAACAACAACCAGCATATGGAGGCTGAAGTCTCAGAAAATGTTCTCTTGAAACCAATCAGGTTCTGATAATCAGAAAGTTTCATGAAGCCCAATTGTCTCAGAGACATAAGAAGTCACTCAGAATGTCTTCCCAGATGCCAG